TGCATGCTGTAGGTCTGTCCTTACTCGGGCATGGCGACAAGTCAGTTGTGTGTGGAGCTGAACTGTGGTCACCCTGAAAGGAGTGATTAGGCAAGAATGTAGCTGCTTTGATTTTTCGAGTTGCGTGCTCTTGATTAAACAGGCTGCTTGCTGAGTCCTGATCAGTTCAGCCCGGTGGTTTCTGACACAGTTCAGTTTGTGATCACTTGTCCAGCAGAATGAAACCTCCAGTTGGCTTTTCTTTTACAACCCCCTTTGGAAGGCCCTCCAGGGACCAACAGGAGTCTGAGCTTGGAGAAAAGCCAGTGCCTTGGCCTGGGGAAGAAGCAGATGTGGTTTTGGGGTTGGGGCTGTCAGCCAAATGTAGTGCAAATGGTTCTGGGATTTTACAGTGGGTGAGGGCATCCCTTATGTATCCTTTGGGTTGTGGCCTCACCCAATGGTGCTGTGCAAATCCAGGTGGCCTGAAGTGGGGAAGCTTGTGGTTTGGTGTGTTTCTGTATCTGAAATGATTGCTCTAAATCAATTCAGTCATGTTAGTCAGGAGTATAGCTTTGATACGGGAGTATATGGCCCTTCTGGAACTTGTAGTATTTAGCATGAGTATTTGTTACCTTAAGCTCCTGCACATTCCACGGTCCGTTTTCTCTCTTGCTGTAAGTTTCTAGGGGAGAACTGTGCGTCCAAATAAGGCTGAGAGAGAGCAGGGTTCTGAAAGCTGCAGGGGTGTGTAGAGCATAGCTTCCTCCATAGGGTCTGCCTGCTGAAGCAGGATGCAGCTCAAGCCTTCTGCACAAATCCAGCTGCCCTGAGACCCTCTCAGCCTGCTCTGGATGTTGGCCTTATTCATCCTCTCAGTGTCCGGATTGAAGCCAGTGTCACAGGCTCTGCTGAGTCTGCAGAGAGCAGGCAACTCTCTTGTGTGTCTAGTAAAGCTCAGAACAGTAGTTTTCAGGGTAGCCTCAAATTGGCCTGTTGCTTTGTTGGCCAGTTTTTCAGCCTGTTGAATTTGTTCCTTTATTTAGGCTGCAATGCCTACAGTATTGTCTCGAACCTATACATCAAGCATGGTGGGATATTTACTGGTATCAATGCTTGTGTTCCCTCTGGAGTGGCTCATTGGCAGCCATGATCAACATGAGGGATCTTGGTCTCTAACACTGGACTGGAACTTTCTAAACCAGTAGCTCACAGGCTGTGATCTGCAGATCTTCAGGGGTCTGTGAACATCTTCCAAGGATTAAATAGGCTGTGAGAGGAAGGCATCCATTTGGAAACAGCTGGGGAGAGTGGAGCAACTGAGACTCTCCAAGCTGGGCAGTGGAAGACCAATTCCATGAGGCACTGCAGGGCTTTGTGTTAAAAGTGTTGGTGATGAGCTTGCATGAGATCCAACAGCTCCAGCCCTAAATGAGCTGCTATTTGGATCATTTAGTTTGCTGGGTTGGAGTATTCTCTTTGAATAAGCAGTAATGTATTCTCTGCCATCCTGGATGTATGCCATGAAAGTTCTAAACCTTTCTTGCTAGCATCTGTGTGTAATATAAGGGGTCATTTATAATCTCTGTAAGCTGTGATATGGGGCCTTTCGTCACTTGGTCTGATTCCTGCTTGTGTTCTGGAGACTGCTCTTGCAGACTTCTGGCTTGCATAGGGAAATCTGGGGGTGGGTCGCTGTCTGTCTTTTCCTCTGTAATTACTGTGCTATTATATGTCTACAGTGAGACCTGAGCTAATCCTAAATACATGTTATGATTAGCAGTGCTCCTATCATTATTCTCCCTTGCTCCTATGCTGTTGTAGAAGCCTGGAAGCTACATTTGTAGGTAAGTGATGCTGTTTGTGGGAGGCAGAAAGTAAAGAAATGAGAGAAGTTTATTCATGTTGTACTCTAAACTTTGGGGTTTGACCATTTGTTTCCCCTCATGATCCCCACTGCTGCCCTAGGCTCTGTCACAAGACTGGGACAGGGTCTGTTCTGTGAGGCTCAATCTGAAGAAGGGCTTTTCCAAGGCAGCAGTGATTTGTTTGATCTATGAAGGGACATGTGTGCTTGAGCAGTTCCTTCTGAGGACCAGGTAGAACAAAGGTTTAGGAGCTCAGACTGTAGCAGTGCTAGGCTGTTTTGAATAGGAAATCTGCATGCATGCCGGCAGCAAGTGCTACACGAAAGACCTGGCAGAGACAGCTTTGTTTTTCCTCCCAGTGAAACTCTGTGATGGGTGAAGGCCAGAGAGGCACATGCACACAGGCTGCACAACAGTTAAAACAAAGTGTGTGTAAATAAACATTTGATTTATTTGGATTTCGCTGGCAAGCCAGACTATGCTCTTAATGTGAGGAGAGGCCCACGAGTCCTCAATGACTGTGCTCTGTTTTAAAATGTGGTAGCTGCATTCTGAGTTTGTTGCATCCGTGCTCCTTCTTGCTCTGATGTGTGAAATGCTGCTCCATTCTTCCCCTCCAACTGGACCAGTTCCTTTCCTCCTTGCATGTTCATGAGAAGTTTTTTCTCGTCACTTTAGGACATGTGCTCCTGCCATTATCCTGTCAGATTCTGTGTATGTGTGATTTGTTTGGCCTGTTTTTATTCCGAGGCTTGTGCAGAATGCTTGTGCTGTCCCTCTGACAGCTGTAAGCTCTGTGCTAAAAACGTGCTTGAGTTAAATAGTTGAAGCACTGCTTTCCCAGACCTTCTGGCTGCTGCTTCTCCTTCCATAGAGCTGTCCCCATGGCATGGGGAGACCTTAACCAGCTGTACTTACTGGAGACGCACCCTGTGGTTAAGCCTCAGAGAGATGAAAATGAGAGCCAGTTGCACCATGGCTTGAAATAAAACCCCAAAACAACAAGGAGAACAAAAATTAATTTGAGTTAGCACATCTCCAGTCTCTTCTTCCTCCTGTTTTTGTCTCCTAACCTTTGTGTAGAAATTGTGCTGCACCTCAAGGATGTGGTGTCATTTTGTGACCTGAGGCTTCATTAATCTTATTTTTGGACTCATTGGAACGAAGTTTTGCCCTTTGCTTCTGTGAAGTAGATGTTACTAGAGGCATTTGAATACTGTGGGATTTGATCCAGAGGTCCAGGGTTTGTATTTTTAGTGCAGTAGCTATGTACTGGGGGCAATGTGGTGGCCTAAGCACTTTTCACTCCTTAAATACTTGATCTGATCTCTGGGGCAGGGAGGAAAAGGCATTTATCTGGTTTATCTCAATGAATCTTAGAGAAGGGGCTTACCAAGACTTTGCTGCAAGTCTGCAGAGAGCGTTACGTTGGAATTGGGAATGGGTTTGCAGCACATGGGGCAGTTTCAGTGGGGAAAACTGCGTGTCTGAGCCTTGTACTGCTGCTGGGTGTGATGGCACCGAGGATAAGCTGCCGTCCCTTGGTGCTCATGCATCAGGCTGGGGCCTGGGGAGCAGCCTGCTGGCTCTGCCTTGGCTGTTGTCATCTGCAGCGCTTGGCTACTGGCATGCCTGCTTCCTATTCATGGAGATGGGAGCCTGGCAGCCTCCCACAGAGATGGGAGGGGGATCCAAAATGGAGGGGGGGATGGTTGCCATACTGTGAGTGAGGAGCTGGGCTCTTCTCAGTGCGGACAATGCTTGTACAAGTGCCTTGTCTGCTGTGAACCCAGGCAGGTGCCTCTGCCTCCTGTTGCTGACCCCAGTTCTGATCCCCAACCAGTAAGAGAGTGGCTCTCAAATCTGCTGCAGTTACAGAAGCAAAAAGGTGAACCAGAATTTGGCAAGGATGAATGATGTGTGCAAGGGGGAAATACAAGCATCCTATTCTTCCTTGCCCCATCAAGCACTGCATTTGAACCAAAAAATGCCTTTCTATAAGAAGGTAAACAATATCTGTGGGTACTGACTCCAGGGCTGGCACTGCAGCTGCTGCCTTCTCATACATCATGTGGCGAACAGTTCTTACTTCTGTTTTCTTCCCTTAGGAGACAGCAAAATTCTTTGGTCCGTCCCTCCCCTTTAATTTGTGTTGCCCATTTTTAGACTGTAACCTCTCCAGGGTAGCAGCATGACTTGTTTGAGCCCTGGTGACAGTGAACTCCACCAAACAGCAGAATTCTCCAACTCAGATGTTTTTCAGCATGCTAGGTGGCCAGGGAGCGATCCCATAATGAGCAGGATGAAATTAAGGCCAATACAATGGGAGCTGGCTAATGGGGGATTTGGAAGACCCTTTTTTTCTTTTCTCCTCTAAAATCCCATTGTTTATGATAAATTACAGAGCTAATTATGTACTGGGCTCTGAGGACCAAGCAAGAGGCATTACTGGGTCTCTTGTGGTTCAGGTTGGCAGAAACAGGGAATCTCTTTGCAGCTTTTGGAGGAGGAGGGAGAGTGGGAAATGGAGACTGTAAGCTGGGTGAGCTGTGGCTGGCAGGGCAGTAACTCCACCCCCAGTTATTTTGGTTTTACTTCAGTCATAAAACAATCCTGAGTTGGAGGGGTGCACAGGGATCATCAAGTCCAGATCCAGGATCCACACAGCACCACCGAAAATCAAACCCTGTGTCTCCTTGAACACCAGCAGCTTGGTGCTATGACCGCTGCCCCAGAGATTCCATTCCAGTGCCTGCCCGCTTTCTGATGAACTCTTTCCTAACCTCCAGCCTGACCCTCCGCATCCAAAGCCCCATGCTTCCCTTGGGTCCTATTGCTGTCACTAGAGAGCAGAGGGAGAACCCCAGTAGTGACCAGCTGCCAGCCTGACCCTTCGAGCCAGATCCACCAGCCAGTTGTTCACCCAGCATGTTGTGTACTTGTCAAGCTGTGTGCTGGGATTTTTGTCCAGAAAGATGCTGTGAAAGACAACATTGAGAAACTTTGCTAAAATCAAATCACATCTTCTGGCTTCCCTTAGTCAGTTAGATGAGTAATCTTGTCATAAAAGGAAATTAAGTTAGTTAAGCAGTCTGTGTATGCTGCTTGAGCTTGCTGCCTTACTGACAGTAACAGATTTCTTTCTCTCCGCAGGCATTGGTGTCACTATACGGTTACACGGACAGTCTCCTGTCAAGTGCAGAATGGGTCAGAAACGGTGATCCAGCGAGTTTATCAGAGCTGCCGGTGGCCAGGACCTTGTGCCAACTTAGTGAGGTAAAAATATTCATGTCTTCTGTTGCCTTTGTGAACTTGCCTGCTCATCTCATCAAAACGCTGACTCCGTTTTTAGGAACTGCGGAGCTGAGCGAGCTCTATGGATCAGATATTGGTCTTCTGCTTCATGGTGGTAGAACTAAGGAATACTCATTATCTGCAGGGTGATTAGGGATGTAAGCGTGTGTAGAGGGAGGCTGCGTGAAACAGTTTATGTTGTAATATTACTTTGTATAACCACATGTGAGAGTCTGCTGTTAGTCAGCCGTGCAGCTAAAGAAACACAGAATCTTTCAGACTGAGCAGTGGGGATGCTGGAATGATGGCACTGGCTGGTTAGTATTGAGACCTCATATGTGAGTCTTTAACATTGATCACATACGTGAGAACTTTACTCAAATTTCTTGCAGTCAGGGATGAATGAAGATACTGTCCTTAATTCCCATTCAGCGCCTCTTACTCCTGTGTCTCTGTATCTCTTGGAGACATTCATGAAAGCACAATGTCATCACTTCTCCCTCAATGGAAACAAGGCTTAGAGATGGTAGCTAGTCAACTTCTGCCCAGTTTGCTGTTAGTCTGCTTCGGCCTTCCAGTCCTTTACAGTCTTAGGATTCAAGACAAAACTGTGGAATAGCTGTCCCCATCTGCTACCTCGGTGTGTGGTGCTGGGCCCTGCCTTCTCAGAAAGGCATTCTGAGAGCAGGCTAACATTACACTCATCTGGGAGTTGATGCAAAAAGGCCATTGTCCTCTAAATTTACACCTAACTTCTATGACAATTTCCCATGTAGACAAGGCTATAATTTAGTCGTTTTATTGTTGTTTCCATTTCAGCCAGAGAGTTGGGTCCTCTTAGTCAATAAGCCAGCCGGAACATGAACTACCAGCATGCATGCATACCCAGAGATTTCCACTTTCTCATGCTGTGTGCCTGCTGCATGCACCCATCTGCTCTCGTGTCTCTCTTCATCTGGAATTCACATTTTCCATGTGGCAGCTACCACTGTTGATTATCTGGTTTCTCCTTGGCCGTTGGTCAGTCTAAGTTTTTTCACTTGTAATGTATCTGCTTTGGTGTCTCTTTGGTCTTGTTTTATGCAAGACTGTGGTTGAAACACTTAATATTTTACACTGTCATGGCCAAACTTCTGTTGAAGCTTTTTAATTTCCCAGACATTTTACACACATAATTGTCATTAGAAACTTGTGAGCTTTCACCTTGTCTCCTAAACTTGCCAAAAACCTTGCATATTTTTCCTTGTTAACATAACTGTAGTTTCACAAGCACCAAACAATTGATCATGTTACTGGTGAAAATCCTTTCTGCAGGCTCCTGTGGTTAAGTTTCTCATATACATTGGTTCTATTGCTGCTAAGGCAGAGACTTCAAGAGTTGTTTGCCATTGTGACACTGTTATTCACGGAATGTTTACAGTTTCAAATGTAGTTTGGCTCACTTGCCTGATGAGTCCAATTGTTTGGAAACAATGCAGAGTGGCAGCAGACTTCCCCATTTTTCTGTGTGAAAATACCACAGAAAGAAGCTGGAGCTATTATTTAAGATCCTGGTGGTGAAAGCTCAGCTGTTGGAGGAGCTGCATTTCTAGATGATGATCACCAGGAAGAAACCTCCCAGAAGAGATGGAAGGATGCTAGTGGTCTGCTCCGTTTACAAGTGGGAGGACACAAAGTGAATAGTACCTTTCTAAGGGCTGAATATAAAACTTGCTCTAATTATGCAGTACATTACATAAAGTTTGAGGCAACTGTCTTCTGATAACGTAATGAAAAACAGCCACTGAAACTGATGGATATTGTGGGGTGCAGCTTGTGTGTGCAAATCGTGATAACCCTGAGTCACATTGTACGGCTGAGGTCTTACTTCCTAGGCACGTGCTGTTGCCTGTGTATCATGATGCTGGTGCCTAGGGATGTGAGGATAGCAGGCTCTCTTTAGTCTCAGAGCCAAGTTGAAATTAAAAAACAAATGAAAAATGCACCAAAAAAACCCTACACTTCTTCCCTCCTTTACTGAAGTGAATACATCTTTTTAGAAAATGCTCTTTCCTGTTTCAAGTGAAACCTATCTCCTGTTTTTGGATGGGAACTACCAAGTACAATGAGAAAATCTTGGCTGTTGCAAGGCAGTTGGGTTCCCTCTTGTATTCAGCGTCTCGCTTGGTAGAACAGTTCTCTTAACAGGAGTTAAGAGAAAAAGATATATTTGATCTCCTCTCTCAGCAGAAAACTGCTTTGGAAGGGACAGGCAAGCTTATACCAGCCCAGCAGACTGTGGGACTTCCCTGGGCAGGTCTCTCAAAATGCCTACAGAAGGTGATCAGTGCACTCATCAGAGCAGAAAGTTAAACTAAGGCCCCCCTGCTTCAGTTTCTGTACTGTTTCCCTTTTACCTAAAGGATGCACCTACAGACCTTCTGGCCCTTCTCCTGTTCTTCTGTGTGTGAGATTTGTCACTTGAGCTTGAAAGGGAGATGGTCAGATTCATGTAGTCTTACACTTGACTGTAAGCAACACAAAACGTCAGTAAGCTATTGGCATTCTTTTGGCTTTTTCATATGTCTCCCAGCTGTGACTTGAAACAAACTGTTTTCATCTCCTTGTTTGCAGGGAGTCAACCGTATCTGGGAGAGCTTTCATTCTGCCAGCACCCGTTATCAGGCTTCTCACTAGCAAAAGGGACGCCAGCCAAAATAAAAAGGCATCTCTCAGCCTCTTGGTGACAGCTGAGAGGGGCTCTCTGCTAGAGAGACGCTGCTTACAGGCAGACATCACTGTGTCCAGACACGGATTTAATCTGTTTCCTGTCTCCCATTCATTCACATTATGTTTCTTTTTCCTTATTGCACAAACTGCAGCTGAGGGTATAGCATCTGACGGGGATATCTGTGAGATCCCCAGCCTTGCAGCTTTGGTTGTACGATCTCCTTGCTCTCTGTTCATTTGCTTTTGAGAAACTGGCAGCTGTACTTCTGTTGCAGGAGTGTTGTCATCTTGGCTGGGATGGGTGAGCTGCTCTGTTCTTGCCCTCCACCCCACACTATTTAGCTTGGGTGCTGAGTTGCTTTGGAGCAGTCTTGGCTGGAGACTTTCCCTCAGCAGATCTCTGCTCTTGAACTCTCTCCCCTAGTGCTGTAGAGGCTATGGCTTGGTGCTCTTTCGATATGCCTTTGCTTTGTTATGCTACAAAGTGAATGGGCAACTTTCCAGCAGTCTGGACAAGGCTCCTAATGTACTTACAGATGTTGCATGCTATTTATCTGTCTGAAGGAAGAGATAAAGTCTTGATGTTTCAGTGGCAACCCAGCCACTGAACCAGGTTTGCTGCCTCTGTGGTTGCACTCAGCTGCCAGTAAACCCAGGTATTTGAACTGTAACCCTTCCTCTGAGCAATCATTTTGTTGCAGCAGCTGCAGGTTGATGCATGATCCTGTCATGCTTAGGGTGCTGTTCTCCTTGAGGTTAGGCAAAGATCTGAGGCTATGTTCAGTTGCCAGAGGCTCAGTGACTTGTTGTGACTGCTTATCTTTCAGGTGAGGTAGCATCACTTGGCCAACAGCATGGGACCAATGGTTGCGATGTTTCCTTTGCCTTACTGTGGCTTAAGACTTTGAGAGCAGGACAACTTCTTGCTGTACCCTGACAGGGCAAAGTATGTCAAACTGTGATCAGACCTTTTGTTTCTGGCTATTGTGGCCAGTAAAATGTTATCTCAGGAATTGAGTGGGAGAATAGCCTGACAGACCATGCACTGCTACAGACTTTATAAGACAAACAGAGAGTTATAAGACAAAGTTCTGCTTCAGACTGTTTTTACTGTAGAAATCCACATATCACCTCTAGAAACACAATTCTTCAGATTGTGGTGAAATACTCTGCCTCCTTTTCTGCTTGATTCATGCTAGAAAAAAGAATGTTCCCAGTGAGGCTATGAGTTTTTATTTTATTTTTTTTTGCCACAGCCAGTGGTCACACAGCCCTGTTTCACTTTAGCCTTTCAGTTTCTAGTCTGCGCAGCACTGTCTGGCTTCAAAGAATATGGAGACTAACTTGGAAACCCAGAGCTGGTTTGTGCAGGGCTGGCCTTACCTGACCACTGTTATTCAACAAGAGCCACTGAAATCCCAAACGTGACGTTGCTCATCTGTCAGTCTTGAACATCGCTCAAAGATGGGGAGAGGTGGAAAGGGAGAATGTTTCTGCAGTACAGCAAATTCCAGTGGGCTGTGATGCCTTGCTGACTGCCAGCATTACATCTGCCTTTAGGAAGGGTCTGGTTGGGGTTGAGGGTGGTGGTGCTGGGGGTCAGATATGTTCTATGATAGCTCCTTGGGGAAGTGGACTCATTGGGTGTACTCACAGGGTAGTCTCTTCTATGTCAGCACTTCCCTGATTTTTTTCAAATTCCCATCTCTCCAGAACAACCAAATATTTCAAGATTTACGTATGCAACCAAACAAATCAGAAGTCTGATTTCAGAACACTCTGAGTTTCCTTAGGACAGTTTACATCTATATCATGTCTGTAAATCAGGCCATGGGCCCCAGAAGTTAGGGGTACTACCAATATCTTTCTAATCTTTTTCTAATGTGCAGAATTAGTGCTTGTTTTAACTTGTTTAAAGTATGGACAATCTGTCTATGATAAACATGCAGGCATGCAAGAATAGAGCCATCAGATTGATTCCTGAGCTCACTGCCTGGAAAGCAGTTTGGAAGGAAAGCTTGTGTTCCTGACTTCCCAGTTGTTTTCTTACCTAGTAATAGTGGTGGCTGCTAGCTGAGATTTCTGGGTTCCTCTTCCTGTGCTGCTTCAATCTCTGAATTTGACAGTGAGCTTCAGCAAATGTGTTGGTAAATGATATCTCTTGCAGTGGAGTTGTAGGTTGCTTCTCTGTTAAGTGCTTGGAAACCTTCTACTGAATGCAGCTGTGTATGCTGCAGGTGTGTGGGAAGGAAGAAGGTGCAGGTTGTGGCTCATCTAACCTCTTACTGTGGTTTTGCAGTATTTCTATGCCACTGTTTGTGGCTTGGGTGACATCCAAGGGAAAGGTCTTCCTATTCTTCTACCAGCCTCATTTCCCTGTCCGTTGTGTTTTGCACGTGTTTTTGTTCTGAGGCTTATATTTAACAGATATCTTTTTCTATAGCTTTTTCACTGTGTGAGAGAAATACAAATGCAAAAGGAATGGTTATCAGAATTGGTGGTTATGCTTTGGTAGAGGAGTTTTCTTTGCTCCTTCCTGGAATACCAGTAAGAATTCTCTATAATGTACTGTGGTGAGATAAGTGATGGCAGACCTTGGTACTGTGCTATGGCTGAGGGGAGAAATGATGCTCTGTAGAATGGAGAAGCATTAAAGCCAATTTGAGCTAGCAAGCTAGGCCTCCTTTACATACCTGATCTGCACAATGCTGAACTGAGCTGCAAGTATCAGGGAACTCAGGGTGGGTGGTAGCCTGTGACAGCTGAGCTCTCCATTTGTCGTGCCCTGGGAAGTCCTCACTTGTTTGAGAATTAAAACTATAGCTACTTCCCTGTCACAGAACTGCTGCCAAGATTCCAGTCTGGCTCATGCTACTCTCCGCACTTCATAATGAAGTTTGAGAGAGCTTTCACATCTTGGTGTTGGCAGAAACGTGGTTTTAAAATCACGGTGTGGCTGGAGACTGGCTGGCTCGGGCCACTGGTAACAGGACTGGAGACTTTCATCTGAAGGTCAAATCCAACTGTAGTGTTAGTGACAAAGTCATGAACTTCTGACTGATGGCTGAGGGTGGTGTGTGGAAAGAAGTCTCAAGTCTGATGCCAGAACTGAGAGTTGGGAGACTTGGGTTCAGTTCCTGAAGTTTGCCAGAGCTGTTTTAGGGTCTGCCTACATCACTGTGGTGCCAAGTCCTCAAGCTCACTTATGACTGCAAACTCCTGAAGGCTGTTGGATGCAGAGGTGTGAGAAGTTAGGTGGGATGAACTGGCTCTGTCCAGCCCAAGTTAGACAAATGTCTGGATCATAGTTAGCATTAGCATTAACTGGTGTGCTTCTTGGCAACTCAAAGGGTGAGGACATAATGTTCCAGGGGACAGCACTGCTCTCCCATCTCTAGGCGATGCTGTGCAGGCAGCTGTGTGCTCAGGAAGAAGCTTGTGCAGATCTTCTTATCCAGTGCCTGTGGGAGAATGATTTATGTCAGCTGTCAAACACAGAAACAAGCAGTCACAGCTTCCTGAGAAATCAGTTTCCCAAAACCTGCTGAGATGCTGCCTGCTTTCCAGTGCATACATAGGCAGTCTCTCCTGGATGTGTTGGTGCTGTTAACGTGAACAGTGGTAGCATACATCTCTGTTCTGTTCTGCTGTCCCTTGATATAACATGTGATAGCTGCCCTTTAGAGAGAGATTTAGGTTAGATTCATGAGATATCTGGCTCCATCTTGGCCTTGTGTCTGGGTGGGCTGGGGCAGAGCTGCAGCCTGGGACTGCTCTGTCCCCTGCAGGTTCTTGGTGCTGCAGGAGGATGTTCTTCCCTGCAGAGATCCAGCCAGGCTTGTGTCTGCCCAGCCCTGACAGAGGAGCAGAAAGCTGCAGTCTGTAGTGCTGTAATCCCAATGCTTCAGCCGCTCCCCATGCTTGCCAAATTCCTTTGGCTGTTAAATGAGAGTAAGAATTTTGAGGGGAGCTCATAGAGCACAGCTTCTGTATTTTCTTTCAGCTTCGTGAATAGCAGCAGTGACTTGTCCGGATGTATGTGGGGAAAACTGATTTGTCAGCTTTGGAGGTCCAGTGTTTTTAAAACAAAAGCTGAGTCTTACGCGACCGTCAGTCTTGTGTTGACTTCAGAATGGCTGGTGCCTCGCATGGGTCTGCTTGTCTGCACATAGCAGTCTGGTTTCCAATGGGGCATGACAGTTCTTGTGCTTTGAATGGAACCCAGAGGATGCTGTGTGCTGGCCACAGAGCAAAAACATGTCCAGCGGAACCTCGGCTGTGATGAGAAGCATAAAGTTCTTTCAGATGGGGGAAAACTGAGGTGGAGATTAGCTAACTGGAAAAAGGCTATATGCAGATCTCTGGTGTAGTGTTGTGTCATGATGATCTGGCATGCAGCTGTGTGTCAGTACGCCCCTGGTCTGAGGGTGGGAGAAAGGAAGATGTTTGACAGACTTAGGCAATTTTTGTGAGAATAACACATTGGAAACTCTGAGTACTTAGAGAGGAAAGGCCAATGCCAGCCTTTGTTTAACCATCATCTCTGCTACTGAAAACAACTTGGTAGTGATGAGACCTCCATAAAGCATACTGGTATTTATTAAGGGAGAGATACGAGGAAGAGCCGAAAGAATATAAGGGCTTAAGGAGAAAAACAAGGGTTTTTGAATCGGATCCATATGGTGGTAAACACTTGCTCTGTTAATTTAAGTGTATCTTTTATCTACAGTTGGGGATGAGAAGATGACATTGCTAGGCAGGAAGATGGGTTATGGATTGTCAGAGAAGTGCATCTTACTGACTTCTTGTCTGTGTTAGTTACAGGACTCTTATAAGGCCCACATACAAAATGTCCTACCGAACTGTGACGACTCTGGAGTGGAGATGCTGTCCTGGGTTCACAGGGAGCAACTGTGAAGAGGGTAAGTGATCCAGCAAAGCATCTTCCCTTGTGAAGAAAAAAGGGATGCGTGTGAATGAACAGGTTGGATTGGATTGGGTTTGTTAATTTGTTCTAGGCCTCTCAAACACAGGAACAGATTACCTGTTCTCTTCGCTCCCAATTGTAATCCAGAAGGTGATCCTGGAAAGCAGACTGTGCTCAGTGCTTACAAAGAATCCCAAATGGGAGAAGAGAAATGAAGAAATGGGTACTTTGGTATGCTCTTCTCATAGATGGATTCATGTTTAGTGACCCCATTGTATGGGTCTTCAGAAAATGTGCTTTATCCCTGTCAGTGAGTATCTTCTCCACATTCCATTGTCATCACAATCAATTGCTGTAGCTGAGAAAAGCTGGCAGTCTCTGAATAGCAGCCTGTAAGATTTATGCACATAAGGTCCAGGCGCAAATCCCTCTGGGATCATGTTATTTGAATTAAACTAAGCGCCTCCTATTTTCTTTCCTGCCCTCCCAGAGACTTTTTGGTGCAACGTTCATGTTACTTACAACAAGACACCTGTGACTTTGTCATCTGTTCCAGTGAAAGAAAACTGGGCTCTGGAAGAAAGGAGAATCCTTTCCCTTTCTCATCATGATGCATGAAAAGGACATGCTTTGCATTTTTCTTCTGGCTGTTTTCCATTTTACCTGTTGCTTCTGGAGCTTAGAAACAATAACTGCTTCTCCATTGAGTTTCATGTGGTATTGGGCATCAGCTGAATCTGCTGATGTCTTACGATTGGGCTAGAAATACCTTGAGGTTTTCTGTTGGTTTGCATCACGTTGATGCATCCTGCTTGTGCTGGCTGCTGAAGGGTTACTGAGAGTGTCTAGCATCTCTGACTGCAGTCTGTAGCTACACCTCGTTTTCATTGCACAGCAGTATCTTGGTGCTAATCATGCAACTTAAGCAAGTCTCCAACTAGGAAGCTGTTTAATTAGTCACAAAGGTGGCTGCAGACAGTAGCTCTCTTCAGGCTGTTGAGGAAACAATAGTTTCCGAGGAGCTCAAGAGAAACCTAAAACATGGGAAATCTATTCTGAATTCAAGTGTTCAGGAGAGAGCTTTGCATTTTAACACGCTGCTGAAAGAAGTGGGCTTGGAAAACAAGGTGTTGTGTGCAGCTTGGCTTTCTACCTGTCACAAGGGAGAGGGATGCTTGGGGCTGGGGCAGAACTCATTTCCCAGGTAGCTGTGGCTCAGCCTGGCAGAGGACCTGACTGGGGACCAAGCAGCTGTGTGTGCAGCCCAGTCATGCCTGTAGGTTTGGACAGGTGTGAGTGATTACAGCTCAGTTGTGCTGCTGGTGTAAAGGAGAGAATCCAGCTCCCTCCCGCAGTGCCAGATCTGTCTCAGCAGAGTTCAGTGGAAATAAAAAGCCAACATAATCTTGCTTTAGAAATTCAGCAGTGATCTCGCAGGAGCAGGTCTGTGGAATGAGGTGACAACTTTACACGATCAGCTTTCAAGGTGCAACTGTGTGGTTGAGCTTGGATGTGGGCTGTGGAGTGTGAGCAGAAGGCCAGTAGCAAGCTTTTGCTTCCATGTAAGAAATTTTCTTAAACTTTTTTTTTTTCTTCCCCTCTAAAACATCTGGAGCTGCTGACAGTCCCATGTTCTCGAAAGAAAAAAGACCCCTTTTTAGCAGGACGTGGTTCTGCTACTTCACTCTTTAGCAGAAGCATTGAGTAGCATTTGAGAGGTGCGCACAGGACCTTAAGCTGTCTGGAGGGATCAGGTTTAAGATCGCGTTATTTACTACTTAAGTTAATCCTTATTGTTAGTATTGCCTGGAGTTGTAAGAAAAAAAGAGTTGGAAAAGTTTCTCTGGGTTTTTTTTTGGCAGTTCTGGTTGGTACATTTGGCAACCTGATACAAAGCCTTTTGTACTCTCGAGTTTTTTTGGCCTTTCCTACTGTAAATGCTGTCCTTCTGGAAGGGCAGGGTGCTTACATCCTGTAAACAACAGAAAAAACAGATCTAAACAAGCAACACAAAAACAGTGCCATTATGGAGCAGCGTAGAAAAAGATGAAAACATTTTGAGGTTCTAACAACAAATTTCACCTCTATTTAGTTTCATGTGTGCAGCTGGAGCTTTTGAAGTTGTGAAGTAGTCATGGCTGAAGACAGATCAGGCCTTCATTATTGCTGACTTGTGTTCCTGCTGTGTTGCAAATGCTGCAATTCTCTGCCAGTCAGTGTTATTCTCCATCGGCAACAGGATGGCAGCTATGATGGCATGGCTCTTCCACCTCAAGATGCTTCTGTTTCTAGAGACACCAAGAAAACATTTCCTTTTTCCAGTGGTCACTGGAATAGTGAGGTTGCATCTTCATAAGTAGGTAAGGCCAGGAGGTAATGACTGATTAAGCACAGAGTAATTTGGGGAGTTGACTATTCACTGCCATGGTACCCCTTCACAAAGGGACAGTACAGTGTGGCTGTTCAGCCCCAAAGTATGGTAGACTGCTGATGTACTCTTGCTGTAACACACCCTCATTGAGAACCCCCTTTCCATGGTAACAGACAGCATGCCAATAGTGCAAGCTGTTAAATGCAATTTGAGCCCTACAAAATGGCTTGACCCTTAGCTAATAAGTTGAGCTTGAGAAAGTAACCACTTAACTGTCACCAGCTGACAGGCACCTATGTTAATGCTGGAGGCTGCACACTGTTTATATTTAAGGTATCTTGGGAATTCAGTCCTTGCATTGCAGCTGATAAAAATAATAATAAAAAGAGCATCATCTGGAGGAATCCCAGCTCTGAGAGTGGATGGAGGCTTTGCTGCTCAGCAGGGATGGCTGCTTCTAGTCTGTGTCCTTTCTAACGTCAGCACTGCTCAAGCTGTCCTCCTGGCCCTTTGCTGCTGTCCTCTCACCCAAAGGTATGTCAACATTTGGAAGATTTCTAATTCCTTTACTGTTTTTTTGTTTTTTTAGAGCTGTGGCTACCTAGCTGTATAGATACGTATATACAGGTGTATATATAGATACACCTCGTGAAAATGGTGATTTTAAACCTCCTGAAAAGATCTCTTGCAACATTTTTGGACAGATAAAGAGAATTGATGCGAACAAGTCTGGTGAATTTAACTGTCAGTAGATGCTAATTTTTATTTTTCACTTCTAATTTTTTTGTGTTTGGAGCCCAAGCCTAGCACAGGAAATGAATCCACTGAGCCACCCAGTCTGCCGACTGCTGATATAAAGAGCATATGGAGGAGGGCAGCGCAGAGGTGAAGTGGTTTAGCTATTGCAGTCATACATCAAACTGATTGATTTGAATCCAAGATGATGCTGACACTTCAACTCAGCCTTTTTTCTATATGGCTGAAAGTTCAAAGGCAAGTGCAATCTCCTGGGAGAAGAAAAGTGTCCCTAGGGGCTCCGTACTGCCTTAGAGCTTCCCAGCTACACAAGGTCTTATTTTACTTCACAAATATCACAGATTTCTTTCTTGATTGTTTGCATTGCTTGAATCTGGGACAACAGCCAGTATCCTATTTACCCCCAAAAGCAGACTGATGGGAGACAATGACTTAGGCAAGAAGCAGCTCCAGAGTAACCCTGGCACCTCTGAAGGGATCCCATTCTGCTTATAAACTTCTGTTTATTTATTTGCTAAAACATCTTAAGAATACAGGGAGGATAGGGAGTTTGAGTGGCCTTGTTCAGGTAATTTCTTTAGTTTGAGAATTTATTTATTTCCCCTTCTCTCTTTCAGTTGTTGGAATTTTATCTACTTTTACCTAAAACTGTTTGTATTTTACTCTGATACCTTTCAATCTGTTGGCTTTTCATGTGGTTACGGTTCTCAAAGCAGCATAAGAAAATGAGGTGTTTCCTCTTGGCATGAGAGAATACCCTTCTACAAAACCCTTCTCCTAGTTCAGAAAGTTTCTTGGGTCTCAGGAGAACTGTGGAACAACATGGGGAACATCTTAAGCTAGCAAATGCTGGATTAGAGAGACTGTGAGATGCTTTCAGAGCCCTTCAGTGGGCTTTCAGGTCTTTAATTTTGATGTTGAATGTGGTGTTGGTGGAACCTCAGTGGTCCAGGTGTTGGTTTGCTCCCTCTGGACTGTTAAACACAGATCTGTCAATATGTGTGGAACCACAATATGGAGATTATGGAGTGACATTGACCATGATATCCCAGGAATTCTGTTCAGAAGCTGAGCACCAGAAATATAAGTACCTGTATTTGTGTACTTATAGAACACAAGAGCTGAACAGTATCTCTGTTTCTCCCCCATAGCACATACTTCCTGCCCCTCTATGATGTGTCTCCAGGTACTTTTGTTTCTGGTGCCTCTTCAGTACGATGCAGGAAGCCCACCAGCAGTTTCCCAAGCACTCTGCACTGCATCACCTGACTGCTCTCCACTGGTGCATGCTGACCACGCAGCAGCCTCTGCCTACAGGCACGAACTTGTGTCACCCTTGATCAGACCTTCTGCAGGGCTCCTGGAGTGCAAGCTCACTGCTGGAAGAACCTGCAGCCTGATGAGAGAGCTTTCTGGCATTGGAGCTGTGGGACTACTTACACAGTTTCTAAGTGCTCGTCTTTTCTCTCGATACGCAGTCAAAAAAATACAATAAAAAAATCCCTGACAGATTTCCAAAGACTTAACACTGCATTCCAGCATCTGAATCGTTTAAGTTTTTTTGGATATGTTTAATCTGAACAGGGAGAATTTAATTCAGCACCCAGTGTCAAAATATTTGGAATGCTAAATATCTACAGATGTTTTTTTTAACGTAATTAGAAAAACTGTGTGCTGTAGTGTTACATTACTGTTCCAATTACGTTAGCTCCCATCAAATTACTGTGGCGTGCAGAAAATCTTTATTTTGATAAGCTATTTGCTTGCTTTCCCAGTCATAATGGATGCTTTCTGTTAGTGCTGTGTGTTTCTTAACTCACAAATTACAAACCTGCCTATTTATAATCCATGGCTTTTCTACTAATTTG